TATGGGACATCTGAATCGGATCGAGCCGTTCCCAAGGGGTGACACGATGTTCCGTTGATCTGGCAGGACCCAGCGGCATTTTGGGGTGACATCATAACAAATGCAGCTCCACTTTCAAGGACAAGGAGGAGAGTTTGGTTTAAAAAAAATAAAATAAAAAAGTGGTGTGCCCGACTACATCCATTTAACCCTTCCAGGGACAGCGGTTACTACAGTGGACAGTTTATCATGTTATCAGGTTACGGGTTGTCATTAATTGGTGCATGAAAGGGTTAAATATTAGATGACTATTTGCGGATTGAAGCTTTATGTTGTGAACCGAAAGGGACGAATGGGGAGAGCTTGCTTCTCTGTGGTTCGTGATTGCTTTTGTACGCGTCGTCATGTGCGGCTCTCAAGTGATTTACACCGCGGGGGGCTCGTCCTCCCCCTGCCGCCTTTCTCCTCCAGGTTAGCCAAGGTTCTCGTTCATCATAGCTTTGAGTCAGGTCCTCAATACACACTTGCGTTGTGAATAAAAAGGGCCACAAATAATGACCTCATTTACTAGCCGGCCTTCCTTTTGTCACAGCAAAGGTAGCTTCCATTACTTTCACTTTGCCTCACCCTTTCGCATTAAGCTTCCCCATTCTCCTTGCAAAGACATGCCAGGGCATAAAGATGACAAGGAGCTTGATGAACAGAGCCCTCACCCCCACCCCACCCGTGCAACAATCCCGCTCAAGCGCCGATGTATGAGATAGCAGCTGTGGCAGAGACTAATGGGCTTTTCCGCACATCTCGCCACGTTTGCCAAACTTATTTTCTTGATAAAGGTGTGATTGTGTCATTCATCCCACGGCGACCTTCAAGCAATCAACCCAAGACGTCAAAGTGAGTTGCTTAGGAACTCGCTGAATGGAGCCGCGATAGACTTTAATCCATGTTAAAAAGCCTTGTCACCTTTAAATCTGCAATACCTTCGCCTTCTTTCACACCTGTTATTTCATTCTTTGGCCTGCTTTGTTCAACTTATTTGAGAGTCAAAGAAATATTGTTTAAAATGTAAAATACTGCTGATTCTCCAATCCATTCACTGATGCTGAGTATCTTCTCTCGGTTTTTCTCGCCTTCTTTCACACCTGTTATTTCATTCTTTGGCCTGCTTTGTTCAACTTATTTGAGAGTCAAAGAAATATTGTTTAAAATGTAAAATACTGCCTTAAAATCAATCTGATTCTCCAATGCATTCACTGATGCTGAGTATCTTCTCTCGGTTTTTCTACTTTGGAAACAATTTCTCCCATCATGTGAAATAATGTGATTAAGTGAGTTAATTGTTTAACTATCAAGTCATTGTTTGGAATATGGTTTTACGTTTATAATTCTCATACTAGTGTAACAGGGCCTAGAAGACTAGATAAATAAAGCTGTATTGCATTGCATTCCCTACTTTGGAAACAATTTCTCCCATCATGTGAAATAACGTGATTAAGTGAATTAATAGTTTAACTATCAAGTCATTGTTTGGAATATGATTTTACGTTTATAATTCTCATACTAGTGTAACCAGTAAAAAAAAAAAAACGGAATCTGTGACTTGCGATCAGACAACTCCGGAAAACAAAGCTATAATTGAGTACAACTACTCACCTTGTGACGATCCCTGATGTCAATAAAAAATCTTCACATGAATTATTACCGTATTTTCCGCACTATAAGGCGCACTGAGAAGCATTCAATTTTCTCAAAAGCCAACAGTGCGCCTTACATATGGATTCTGGTTTCTTGGATGTAGTATTTTAAATGTTCTGGAAGGCGCTTTGTGAGAGATGCAGCCATTGTGAAGACTATATAAATAAAACTATATTGTATTGTATTCCCCTTAGCGTAGCTCCATCTAGTGCATGCATAATGCAACTGCAGCCACTATTGTAGCTTCTATTCTATGTGACTTATAATGCGGTGCGCCCTATATATGAAAACTGTTTTAAAATAGGCCATTCATTGAAGGTACGCCTTATAATCCAAAGTGCCTTATAGTGCGGAAAATACGGTACATTCAACTTAGCTCCATTTCTGGTTCTATGGTTATCATAAAAACTTTTTTTTTTTTTGACAAACCATCATTATACCTAAAAATAGTCACCATAACATGACATTTAGGGTGTACTTTATAGGTGCATGGTAGCCTCAGATTTTTTCTAATCTTTGAAAACCCACTCGCTATTTGCTTCGATGAATACAATACAATACATATTTATTTATATAGCGCTTTCACACAGCTTCAGCTGTAACAAAGCGCTTTACAGAACAATTAACATAAAATAGCAAACTAAAAAAAAAACACACAAAACATAACATATGACACAGACAGTCATGCAATCTTAGCCACTTTTCCTGCATAGGCTTTGTTGTTCGAAGCAGTTCTAGAAGAAAGAGGAGAGAATCAAAGTTTCCTTTCACCAGTGGATCAGAGACATCATGCTGAAAATGTGCACACGTCTGCTCCAAGCTAAGTTTGAAACCATACAAGAAGCTCTAGCGTCCATTGACATAAAAAAGATATTGGCTCACATCTCTTGTCCCGTCTAAATCCGCTTCAATTCCAAGCGGCGACTCCCAGTTCCACATACGCATCTGCGCTGGTTAAAGAATATATTCAGTACTGTGTTTTTTTTGTTTGTTTGTTTGTTTGTTTAAACATCTGACAAAGGCAACACTCCTATTGATTAATCATTCCAGTTGCAAAAGTTCTGTTTTGTCGCCCTCCAAGCTTCGAAGTCTTAACTGACACCCCGGTGAGGATTTTTATTTGAGTCACTCCAGATTTTCACAGTTCAAAATGGATTAAAACTCATCTCGATGTGATTTATCAAGTGCAGATTCTCACACACACACACACACACACACACACACACAACCGATTAGAATAACTGGGATAAATGTAATAACGGACAAAGTCATCTTTGC